AGTAAGAGAGAGAGTAGTCACTAGCTACTAACAAATAGCTTATCTATTTCACGTAGCCCAAGATCATGTGAGAGGAGTACGTGGGTCCAATAGTGTAAAATAGTTATTTTTTTTATCTCTCACATCCACATCAGCTAACCATATAGCTAGTAATAGCTATTACCATTGGAGATGCCCTAAACACATAATTATTTATTAATCCAAAGTATAGTTTAATGTCAATTAATCAAGTCTTATGATCTTGAAGCTGTTTAAGATATTTAGTTTTGTTGATCATGATATTTTCTACTAAGACAGGAATATTTTTTATTCTAATAAGAGGTAGTGATTTTATTGAAATTTTTATTAATTTATTTTTTATCGTTCGATCGACACATATCTGATGCGAACAATGGGATCGACTTTTCCGAGATATTGTCATTATGTAGGGCTAATTTTTTATTTGACAAGGCTGACGTGAGATTATGAAATTAGTCAAAGATTGTTAAAATTTGGTGAATTCATGTGCATTGTTCAACTATTCCTAAAAGTGTTGCACAATAAACCAAATTTAAAACCACTTAATCTGCACGAAATCTTATAGAAAATGACTAACCCACCAATACAAAACAATGGCATTACGTATTCTCAGCGTTATTCAATTATTCACTAACAAAATTAGCTTACAATATATGAATATAATGGTCTTATTTGATAATTATGCTCTTGGACCCAAATTAGAGGAACGAGACGAATTAGATGATTGACTCGAACATTTTGTCTGAATGGGCGTTATAGAAGTGATATCACACCATTTGTTATTATATTCATATGTTTTTTTTTTTGTTTTTTTTTTTTTCTAAAGGGGATCAATACTGGTTCTCCAATTCCCCCGGGTGACTCGAACTCGGGACATGGTACACGCCGAGCGAAGGTACGCGCCACTGCGCTAATCCCTCTTCGTCTTATTATTATATTCATATGTTAAATGTGTTTGGCTGAAAGGTCTTGACACTGAAAAATAGATATGGTCCGATCAATTATCCCTCAATTTGTTTATAACGTATCCGACCAAATTGATGGGATGCCATATACCGCAATAACTCACAAATTTTTGAGTTCCTAAAATGTCCCGAATTTTTTTCACGTATTTTTCTTTCGTTACATATAAACCAATTTTTTGAGCAGTGGACACAAATTTCACGAAGCCCTGTTCTGCCTACCCGTCCCGAGGAATTCCAACGGCAACATCAGTACGGCGACAACAACGGACTGCTGAAAGGTTTGTGCTCAAGATATAATAAAAAAAAATCATATAATAATAACAATTATTAACTCATTTATGTAGTCCACTAAATCTAAAATAAAAAATTTAAAATCAGTTTGTTAAGCTGCTAATTTTTGGTGAAATTTAACATTGGTTTTGTTTCACGACACTCCTAACAAATGAAAGAAGTCAGAGAGCGGACCGCCACATTAAGGCCAGCTCCGACTACTCCAACTGAAATTGCTATGATCTGCGATTTCATGGACTTAGCAACGAAGACGGTGGAAGTCGTTGAGATGGTGATGACGTGTTTGCATAATGTGAGGAGTATGTGGGGGAAAGAAAAAAGAAAAATTAAAGTTGGATAGATATGGTGTTGTAACCAAACATATTAATAAATTAATGGACAAGATAATCAAAAGAAAACCAAACAACTTATAATGGACTAAGTATAAAATTGGATGGATAAAGCTAATACATGACATTGGAAATAATCAAGCCCATACCTTTATTACAACCAAAGCCACCCTAAAAAAGTTCAAAATATAAGCTTTAAATTCGGGAAATGTAAAATTAGTAGTTTTCAATATCAAATCAAACAACTAATTTTTACCAAACTCAACATAATCAGCTATCCACTATTAACTAATTCAAACATAATACAGAGAGATGCTACGATTCCGTTACGGAACCATTCCGTCAGGATTTGTAACCGTTAGATCAACTATTCCCGACGGTTACATGATGATCTAATGGTTACAAATCCGACGGAATAGTTCCGTGACGGGACCGGGACTGTAGCATTTGCCGTCGATACAAGTGTGCATAAGTGTAAAAATTTTTAATGTGATCTGCAACTTTTGTGCATCAACACAAATAAACCTCAAAACAGTAACAACTTTAGTACCTTAAAAGAGCAGCTCACCAAAGCAATCCAAATCCAATACATTTCCAGTTATCTAAGTGAAAGAAATTGCATTTATGCGGTGAATTTAACCCTTCGAGCACTCTCACTCACTCAATTTTTCTAACTTGAAACTGATTGTTTGAAATCAAAGTTAGGAGCTTATTCAAGAAACATTGCCACACACTTACAAAACAAGAATCTCATGTGTTGAGTTCACAAATCATACAAAAAGTATAAAACTATATGCATAGGAGACTACAAATGCAGGCTAACACAAAAGCCCCACAAACTGAAACATCACATTGATTCGAATACAGTATACACATTACAAAAAACGATCCAACTAAAGCCCGTATGCAGCTAAAAACCACAAGCACGTTCGAAAAAAAACTTACGCTCGACGTGAAGTGACGTTTCACTACAGCTCGTCCCTACTGATTACCGACGTGCCGGGAGGTACCATTGCCTCGTCAGGAAATCGGGCCGGGCTTCTCCCGAGAGGAGAACCCGGACCCGACCTCGACTGGAACTCCCCATCCTCACGAGGCAAGGGGGAAATTGACACCCGCTCGTCGTTTTCCCTCTTACGGTAAAACTTATCTTCCACCACATCATACTCGTTACCTGTCCTAACCTCTTGTGCCAACGAGCACCAACAGCAGAAAAGCCACAGGGCGAAATCGGTCACAGCCGGTTTACCGCAGCAAAACTTGTACTCCGGAAGGTTAAACCTTTTCCTCATCCGAATCCTCCAGAACCCGCCGTACAACAACCCGAAAACGCACAGGAAAATGCCCGTTATCCCCAGAGCCTCCCGAACAGTCTCGTTATCGATATTCACGGCCGCAAGATTGAAAATCCAAAACGGGGCCAAACAGAAGAGCAAAAAAGTAGCTATGTGGACATACATGTTACCGAACCCGAGCCTCTCCATGTTCCACCCGAACACACAGAAGCTACAGAACAGAGAGAGATAAGCTAAAGAGATGTCATCCCAAAAGTCGAGTATGCCCCCACTCCACCGGGGCTGAGCCTCGAGGGCGGCCCCAACTTCATCACCCCTCGATGCAAAAGAGAATCTTTTCTCGAGAGAAATCCGTCTAGACTGAATCTGAGCTTCCTCATCGATTTCGTTATCGTAGTCTTTCCCGAGCGGGCTCAGCATGGAGTAAATCCCGGCAACTGCAGGGGCACCGATAGCAACCGATACACAAATCCCAACACCAATTGGGGGCCTAACGGACCTTTTGTACCCCAAATTAAGCCCGCACAGCGCGTACTGAGCAAAACAGTTAACGTTCAAAAGAATCACGACAAACATCATGTGGGCCCACTCGTGGGGTTTGTAGGTCCCGTTCTTGCAGTAAATTTTCCTCAGCTTCAGGATATCCTCAGGACTCCACCTCATGAGAAGGGTAAAGTGGTATATACGCTTCGGGTGCTGGTACAAGCACATGAGCGTGAATAAAGCGTTTAGAATTTGGTTGTTGACTTCAAACCACGCGTCCCGTTGGGATTTTCTCGGGAGGGCGTGGTTTAGCATGCCTGTCATGACCATGAATAGAATGGCACCAGATATGGCCACGCATAGGATCCACAGGAAGAGGGCTAAGTTTAAGGGGTTTCTAATCCATTCCTTGGAGAGTTTCCAGAGGCAGCCCCAGTCGATTTTCTTGGAGAACATTCGGTGAAAACGCTCGCGGATGTGGAGGCTTGTTGAGGAAGGTACGGCTCGCGAGACCTCGTCTTTTTCCTCCGCAATGCGTTGGAACTTTCCGGATGGGGAGGATAAGTTGCCGAATTTGAGGAATTTCATCTTCTTCTTGGACATGGCGGTAAAGCCGTTGTTGTGTGGGTTTTGGGAGTTTTCATCGGTTATTAGGCCTCGTTGGGAGGTTGAGATGTGGAGTGCAGTATGGCTCTTGAGTTTTCCGGTGGGGGGTTGCTCAGCTACATCAGCCTCTCCATTGGCAACAGTTGAAACCATATTGCTGGAAATTTGTGATCAGTACTAGCTTAGTCTTTCAGCTTGTGGAGATTGAATGCTAGAGAGCTGTAAAGCAGCAGAATCAGATGTCAATAAAGTAAAGTGGCTGGTGTAAAAGTACTACACTTGAGTAAAAAACAAGATTTTCAGCCTGAAAACTGTGAAGACAAAACATAGAAGAAAATTAACTGTCCTAACAACTCCTGGAGAGTTTTACACATGAGGAAATTGAGCTAAATTCAAGATCTGAACATGTATTCCATTCTTGCACCTTTAAACTAAACCCAGATTGCCCAAAATTAACCAACACTTCACTAATTTGGGGAAAATCATGAATTTTAGACACAACAGCCGGCAATTTGTGGTAAGATTTTTAATTAATACCACCAATAGAAAGAACACAATCATCCAACATATACAATTACAAAACAAACGTATGCACGAAATACAAAAACGAGGATAAAATCATGGCTGCACAAGAAAACCACAAAAAAAAGAGGAGTTTAAGGAAAGCAGTACTCACGGAGAGTCATATGCACAAGAAAGTCACTTGGGCTTCAACAATTTTTCCATTTAATGGTGAGTCGCGAGGTTGTTCAGCTGATGGGTATTGAGGGGTAACTCCGCCATGAACAAGCATCAAGTTTTCAAAGAGAATGACTTTAGCTCTGTTCTCGAAAGCTTTTAATTTTCTTTCGTTTTTGATTATTTTTATTTTATTTCCTTTCTTTTGCTTCGTAATGGGTAAAGGG